TGCATTGTTATAACAGCTACTAGGATACTGATAAATTATGTCATATATTCAGATATACAGTCACTGCTTAGAATTCAAGTGATCTGCTGGTCATAAAATTTGCTGTGGGATGGCATCACTAAAATCTACTCAAATTCCATTTTGCTTTGTACTTGAAAGAGGTTTACTCAACACAGCCACTACAAAGCTTACTTATCATGTATTGTCCTCAAAAGTGCATTTAATAATGGCAAATAAAAAATAATCTATTAAATGAGAAGATGCTGTCTGTAAATTAATATATTCATAAAGGTAAACTCCTATGCTTCCCCCAGTCAATTTAATTTTTGGTGAATTAAAGGACTAAGCTATTCCTTTTAACTGTGGATACTATCTCAAATCTGCTCTGGATAACACAAGTTGATTCCTTAGAAGTAGCAGAATCACAGAAAAGAACTAGTTACACAGACAAGAACTTGCTTTATTTTCAACCATCCCAAAACGAATCAGACATTTAATAAATGCATGTTAAAGTTAGGGAAAGAAGGGAGTAGGCATAGTGATTAATATTAAACTTCATTAAGTACACTGGTCAATCCTATAGTTTATAGATTTAAAGAACTTCAAAAATGAAAGGGATATTCTAGATAATCTGAGTTGTCCCATAGTCTACAGATGAAAAAAAGTGAGGCCCAGGGATGTTGAGTAAATGACTCAAGGTCATATAAGAAGGAACAAGTTGGTTCTCAAACATCTACACTCCCAAATTCTAATATTGAGAGGAAAGACACAGACATCTGATCAAATACTATGTAACTGAATCAATTCAGAAAACAATTCTAATATTTTCTAGGATACTGATAAATTATGTTTTGTTGTTGGTGTTGTTGTTTTGTTTATTGGTTGGTACTGGGGATTGAACTCAGTGGTACTCAACCACTGAGCCACAGCCATAGCCCTATTTTATTTAGAAACAGGTTCTCAGAGAGAGAGAGAATTTTTTAATATTTATTTTCGGTGGACACAACATCTGTATTTTATTTGTATGTGGTGCTGAGGATAGAACCCAGCGCCCCACGCATGCCAGGCGAGCGCGCTACCGCTTGAGCCACATCCCCAGCCCAGAAACAGGTTCTCACTGAGTTGCTTAGTGCCTCACTGTTGCTGAGGCTGACTTTAAACTCTCAATCCTCCTGAGGCTGGGATTACAGACTTGTGCCACCACACCTGGCTCTAATATTTTCTTTATTGTTTCTTACCCTAAGCCATATTCAGCATGTCTTTCTTCTCTTTCCCTCTCTGGGAAAGGAGAAAGTCTTGGGAAAGGACAAGAGGGGAGGGTTAGGAAGGGCAGAAAAAGAAAAGAAAGCTTTAAGAATTGCCATGGTCAGAAATGTGTCCTTCCAAAATTCATACTGAAGTATAATCCCTGTTGTAATGGATTAAGAGGTAAGCAGGGTCCTTAGGAAGTGATAAAATCCTCAAGAACAGTATTAGTGCTCTCATAAGAGAGGTTGAAGTGAGCTGCTTTTTCCCTTCCTCCATGGAAGGACACAGCAATCACCCCACCTTCCACCATGTGAAGAGGCAGCATGAAGATGATATCTTAGAAGTAGAAAGCACCATACACAAACCTACAGACCCCTTGGCTTTCACTTCAGCCCTCCAGAATTGTGAGCAATAAATGTCTATTTTTATAAATTATACATTCTAGGATACTTTGTTACAGCAGCACAAACCAACTAAGAACAAGGATGTTTCTTTTTCTTTTTCTTTGTACTGGGGATTGAACCCAGGGGCGCTTAACCCCTGATCTACATCCCCAGCCCTCTCTTAATATTTTATTTAGAGACAGGGTCTTGCTCAGTTACTTAGGGCCTCGATAAGTTTTAAAGCTGACTTGGAACTTGCAATCCTCCTGCCTTAGTCTACAGAGCAACTGGGATTACAGGCATTTTTAATCCTCCTTTGCTACATTTTCTTCAACTTGAAATATTAGAACCATTATACATACCTAAGAGAAGTAAAATAAAGCTCTAGATAGCTAATACAAAGCAAGGACTGAGAACTACTCATTTCCACACTTTCACACCTTACAATATAATACACCTTCAAATATATGATAAACTCTTGTTCAATTAATAGACATAAGATGTCTTTACCAAGTGAATATTTTCACTGTTTAAATATAACTCCTGTCTTAAATAAGAATTCAAGAAATTGGGGGAAATGTTTTTAATACTGAATATAAAACTAAAGACTAGCTCATATTTTAAATGAGTAAAATCAGTCCCACATGTGGCAGACAAAGCTATGCAATTCTGTGGTCAGGTTCATGAGCTCTACAGCCAAGATGCCAGGTTTGGATACCTGCTCCACCAACAACTAGCTGCAAAACTTTGGCCAAGTTATTTAATCCCCTCCCCTCACCTTTCTTGAAGCCTTACATCCCCCACTGTAACACTGGAATAACCTTACATTGATTCTTACAATAATAAATACCTTACATTGATTCTTACAAATATTAGGTGAGATAATCCAAAGCACTTCACACAGATTCTTAAACATTAAATTATAGTATACAATATATACATAAATTTAGTTGTAAAAAGTAACAATTTCTCTAACAGGCATAAAATTATAAGGTGCTGGGTACTTGAAATGATTACACTGGCCTATGTTAGCATCAGTACTAATGAATTACCTGTAAATCAGGTGTTTTTAACTAAATGCAACTAAATATAAAGTAGATTTTAAATAAATCTCTTTCTCAAGATAAAAGTTCACTGCCAAAATTCCATTATTCTGAAAGACCAACCTACAACTATCATTTCTCCTTAAGTAAAACATTTTACAGCCAGGGGTACTATTCAAAACACATAATGCCCATTCAGAACAGACATAAACCAGTACACATGACCAGTGAGTGCACAATGGCAAAACATCATCCCAGCTTATCCTCAAGATCAAGAAATACTGTTTGAGCCAGGCATGGTAGTACATGCCTATAATCCCAGTGGCTTGGGAGGCTGAGGTACAAGGATTGCAAGTTCAGGGCCAGCCTCATTAACTTAGCCAGGCTCTTAGCAACTCAGCAAGACCCTGTCTGAAAATTAATAAAAGGGTCTGGAGACATGACTCAGCACGCCTGGGTTCAATTCCTAGTCCCTTATACCATCCCCCAAAAAGAGAAAGACAGAAAAAAAAGATATACTGTTTGTCATGGAAATAATGTCCCTCTTCTGTGTTGTTTTTTTAAATGTAAAATTGCACCATACTGGTATACAGTTTAACAAAACACAAAAATATACTCATGCCACAAAAAGGGCAGAATGTATTTCATTCCATACAACAAGATAGCTCGCTGATTATCTCTCTGTCTCACCTCCAGGTCACAGCTGTATTCAGTGCCATCTAGGAGGGTCACTTTACACTGGACAGTTTTGGTCTTCTTGGTGGCTTTCTGAGAAGTCTTCTCTGCTTTCAGTTCATTAGTTTGCACTTCCTTGGTCTCCCTTGGTGCTGCCACTTCATCTTCCTGTATTTCCTTCACCTCTTCTCTCTCCTCCCTGACTTCTTCAGCAGGCTGTCAAGGAGAAAACAATTAAGTGCATGCTAAAGTTAACCAACTTGCAGAAGACAACATATTAAAAAGAAAATCTTTTTGTTCACCCCCACCCCCAGAGGGGGGTCTTGCTATTGTTGCCCAGAATGGCCTCAAACTCGTGTGATCAAGCAATCCTCCTGCCTCAACTCTCAAGTACCTGCAATTAAAGGCACATGTCACCTAGCCTGGCTTAAAGGAAAATCTTGAAGAGCTGTGCTCAGTATTCAAACTATCATAAGCCTAAGATTCTAAAAACTTTGAAAATTATGCCATGAAGAATATTTCCCCTCATCCTCCTTCTACTGCCAATTTTCTCATTTTGTCAAGTTGGTCACTTTAGCATTAAATGACTAAAAGAAACTATATCCTAGGAAACACAATTTAAATATCATGGAAATAACAGAATTTCTAATTAAAATCTCAAACCGCAGCAAAACTAGACTTCATTAGGCAACCAAAACGTACTATTTACTACTTATTACCCACTGAATACATAAATAAACGAATAAATAAACAAACAAACAAACAAAGGGAATATTATTTAAAACAAAAGGTAGCAGGAATCTCAGAGTATCTGCTTAACCTTAACAGGAACCTGTAGGAACCTTTTAACAATCTGTACAGTGTTTTGTTGTTATTGTTTGGTTGGGTTTTTTTTTTTTTTTTTTTGGGGGGGGGGTTTGTTTTTTTTTTTTTTTTTTTTTTTTTTTTGTTTTTTTTTTTTTTTTTTTTTGCTTTGTTTTATTATTTTGGAATTTGTTTCAAAAAGGAATGGCAGAAGTCTAAGGGAGACCAATCCGATACCTGTATCCCCAAACACATTAAGCCAAACCAATATCACAATGTAAGAAAACTGGAAATGATCCCAAACAGACCCTTTTCCTTAAGTGCTTAGGTTCTCATTCCCAATCACTTGCTCTCAAAGATACCTGGGTCTCAGCTTTGCTCACTGAAGGTTTTCCTTCCTTGACTTCCACCTTAACCTCCTGGTGTTTACTCTGAGCAGTTTCTTCAGCATCCCCTTTGGCCTGTCTCTCTTCTTCTGGAATGGAAACCTCTTTATCTAAAATCTGTTCTTCCACAACAGCTTCAGTTGGCTCTTTTTTATCTCCTCCATCTTTGGCCACTACCAAATTATAAGACTTCTGTTTCTTGAGCCATGGGGGTATAAATCGGGAAATACCCCTGCTCTCAGATGTATCCTTCTCTCTCTTCTGGCGGCGTGGACTGCTTTGGCTTTCAGCAGGTGGTGGTGGCTGGGAACCTTTTTCCTCCTCTGGTTCAGATGACTGATGCTGCCGATTTTCTGCTACTTGTTTAGCTTTCTCCTTGGTCACATCTGCTCCCAACTGGTCAGAGTCCTTCTTCACTTCAGATGCAGAGCCAACTTCAGTAGTCATGGTCACGGCTTATACTGTAACAAAACAAAAGTCAAAAAATATTTTATAAAGTCTCCCAATTTTAGCCTGGTGGCAAGGGGAAGGGAAGGTTAAAGCAGGGTGGGAAGAGAAATGACAGAAATGAAATGGAGAAAGCACAAGAATGAAGGTTCATAAGCACAAGAGAAAATGGAGACTGCTTTCTTACTTTTAGAATTCTCTTAAAGAATCATAGAACCAAAACTAGCATCACAATATAAGTTCTATATGGCTAGAACTTAAAAAAAAAAAAAACAAGACTTAAGAAAGACTGATCACCAGGCACGGTGGCTCATACTCAGCTACTCTGAAAACAGGAGGATCACAAGTTTGAGGCCAGTCTGTGCAACCTGAGACTGTCTCAAGATAAAAATTAAAATTAAAAAAAAGAAAAAGAAAATATGACTGGGGATGTGTAGCTAGTGTAAAGTGTCCCTGGTTCAAGCCCTATAATGGGAAAACAAAAGGAAAGGGATTACTTTTATTTTGTTTCACTTACTTATAAACAATGAGCACAATAAATCCAATTTTTTAAGAAAAAACTACTTCTGTGTATTTGGTAGCCTTTATACTGTAACATGAAAATGTTGTCAACAATGCTAAAAAGTATTGAGACACATTTCACTGCCTTTTCACATATTAAAACCAAAATCTACAAAAAATGCTAGGTATTACAAGAACAAATTTTAAATGCTGGAGGCTTGATAGTAAGAAAATTAAAGTTGAAACAAAAATGTACTGTTTTGTGCTTTGATATTAAATCTTGTAATTCACCCATCACTATTTCAGTACAAAAGCTAATCTGGGAAAGGTACTGAAACCATAATCAAAACTCCAACTTTATTCAATCCAACCTCAAACACATTTTTCTTTGTGTATTTGATTGTAAGAAAAATATCGAAAGGCCCTAATCCAAATGAAATAAAGATAATATGGGGGTCAAAAATCTAATGATTGATCCTATCACATCTAATGAAAAGAAAATTTTAAATTAAATCTAAAAATAACTGCATGTCTAAATTTTACAAAAACAAATGGGGACTTTTCAAATGCAGCAGCAGCACCAGCAAAAAGAAGAATAGGCAGGGCCCATGGGAGAGTGGACTACACTTCTCCCCTCTCTTGCTAATGATTCAAGTATTCAAAGTTGGGGCACCCTGGCCAATAGATAATGTCATTACCATCTTCCTAAGTGGTACAAATTTAAAAGGCAAAACAAAAAACAACAAAACTAAAGCACACTTGTTTTAAAGCAAATTTGAGATATAATGCAATGCATATACCATAAAATTCATGCTTTTAAAGTACACAATTAGTACTGCTATCAATTACAGAACATTTTCATCATTCCAGAAACAAGTCCTGGACCCTTTAGTAGTCACTCTCCACCCCTCTCTTCCCCTGTCCCCTAACAACCAACAATCTATTTTCATGTTTCATGGACTTGCCTATTATGGATGCTGCAAATATCATAAATCATACAAGACATGCCATCTTTGCTTGGCATGTTTTCACAGTTCATCAACAATGTGGCATGTATCACTGCCAATTTTGTTTCCTGAAATACTACTCACATCTTCTGAAAATCATATATCTAACAGATAATAATATTTTGCTATCCAGAATATATATAAGAAGAAATTTTTGTAACTCAAGAATAAAAAGACATAAAACCAATTTTTTAAATGGGCAAAGGTTTTAAAAAAGACATTTCTCTAAAAAAAATATACAAAAGACCACTAAGCACATGAAATGATGTTCAACATGGTTAGTTATCAGTTATAAAGCAAAACTATTATGAAACACTCCTCAAATCCACTAGGACTATTATAATCAAAAAGACATAGTACAAAGTAATGATGAGTATATGGAAAATCTGGAATTCACAGCATTACTAATAAGAATGTAAAATGGTACAACTACTTGAGGAAACAGCTTTCAAAAATTTAAATACAGATTTACCATATCACCCAGCAAATTCTATTGCTAGTTATATACCTAAAAGAAAACATCTGTTTGTATATGAAAGTTCAGAACAGCCTTATTCACCAGTGCCTATCAACTGATGAATAGATAAAATGTGGCATGTCTATAAAATAGAATGTTATCCAGTTTAAAAAAAAAAAAATGAAACACGGTACATGCTACAGCATGAACAAACTTTGAGGTTTGGAGGTTCTAGAAGTTATTTTAAAGGCAATAAGACATCACAGCAAGCTCTTTATAATCAGAAGAGTAATTGTAATCAGATTCTTATTTCATTTTTTTTACATTAACCATATTTACTTCAAATTAATTTGTCTTTTGAAAGCACCAATATATGACACTCTTTGGATACATATATTTGATGTGTCTTCAAATTTGTCACTTTATGTATTATGTTCTTTTCTTTACTCTCCTTTTTATAGAATTTCTTTTTCCAAATTACTGATTAGTGAATTTTAGACACTTCAGTTTAACAGTGCAGTCTGTAGATTTTCTTTTTAACCTCAGCTAAAATACATCCCACTTTTTATAGGCTTATTGTTATGTAAATGACTTCTAAAAATCTGCATATATAACACCCTAACCTGACCTTACTCTGGACTATTGATATCTGAGTGGAGAGAGAGTCTCCCCTTGCTAAGTTGCTGAGGCTGGCCTCCAACTTGGCGATCCTCCTACCTCAGCCTCCCGAGTCCCTGGGATGACAGGTGTGCACCACTGTGCCTGGCCCCTCAGGTCTCTTACAGAAAGATGCCTTCCCTCGGGGTCAGAAGGATTCTTATTTCAAATTGTCCAACATGGTTATAAAGTAAAGACTGAAACAGAAAAACATCTAGGAGAGTACTACAATAATTCAGACATGGTTTTGTACTATGGAAGAAGTGGGGTAAAGCAAAAGAAGTAAATCTCATGGTAAAAATGTAGTAGACTGGAAATGATTTGGGGGTCTAAATAAATATACAAAGTCAAGGATCAAAGGAAGGTTGTCTCAGGTCATGGGCCAATGGGGGAATAGTAGAACCATCCACGGAAATACTGCACACCTGAAAAGTGAATCTTGTCAAGACTTTTAACTTTTTTTTTTTTAAGGTGGGGGTGCTAACTAGAGATTGAACCCAGAGGTGCTCTACCCCAGCCTTTTTTATTTTGAGACAGGGTCTTGCTAATTTGCTAAGGCTGGCCTCAAACTTATGATCGATCTCTTGACTCAGCCTCCAAGTTGCTAGTAGTATATACCACTACACTTGGCTCAATTTTGAATCCACTGCAATTGAGAAGTTTGTGGAGATATCTAGACACTAGACACAACAGGTTTTGAAGGAGGCTGGATATGCACTAGAGATGCTACTCAGAAGTTATGGTCATATGGGTACATGGTTGCAAACATGGATGATACTGACTTTACCTAGAAAAACAATGTCACTTGATCTTAAGAGGATCATAACAAGAACACTTATCATAACCCACAGATGATGAAATGGCACGAAGGCCAAATATATATATACATATATACTGAGGCAGGAAGATCGGAAACATAATGTCCTTGAGGGTACTGTTATAAAAGAGGGAACAGTTAAGTATCATACCCACATGCCCAATGTTACTTCTCATTCTTAGGCACTGAAAATGCAAAAGCATGTCTTCTAACCAAAGACACTTAAACTGGCTCCATACTGCACAGAAAACCTTTTTCCCTTTTTAACATGTCATTTTCCATGCACATTTAAGAGAAAAATATTATTTACATTAGTCATGAAATAACCAAAGTTGACTTCTAGCATATACTCTCTAATTAAATTCTGAGAATTGAATAAAAACCCTGGTAAAATTGGAAAAAAAAAAAAAAAATGTCCCAACCCTTGTCTAAGCTAACCAAGATAAACTGACAGCTCTTTAATTACTCTGGTTGTAAGAAAGTATCTGGGGACTAATCAAAAACAGCTGAATTTCAGCCAAAAATTTTAAAGGCAATAAAATATAAAACCAAAGTTTCCACTATAAGGTTCAAAGTATTAATAGGTGTTTATATTTCAATCACAGGAGGTACCACTCATATCTTAATGTGTCAGGAACCATGCTGCTACTCAAAACATCTTACAAAGTAGATATTAACTTAATTTTGTAAATAATAACCAAAATATAAGTGATTTGTCCAAGACCACTAAATGAATAACTGCACAGCTGTACACATTGCCTCACTAATACCTCATAATGCAATCCCAATCCCATTACACATGAATGATCTAATTAATCAGAGCCCCTGCTCTAGTCCTCAGCAAAGATCCATGCCAGTTTGTTAAAATGACTACAGAAGAACATAAATGTATTCTGTGATTTACTATAAGGAGCTCTTCCCCCCATAAGAAATTTACAAACCAATATCACATTTGAAAGTTATATTGAAAAATATTTGAAAGTTAGCCATGTGATCATAACCAAACTATGAACAGAAATTGAAGACAGAGTGCCAATACAGAGAGAAAGAACACAGATAAACTATACCCGTTGTGCCTCCTAGAGTTGTCCTCATCAGTACCACTGTACTCGCAATTTTAAGTTTCAAGAACCTCAGAGTTGAACAGTGTTACCCATCCAAATGGAAGTAACAAGACAGTAAACAACAGAAATGGCTAATTGGTTTGAGAATACTCAATAATAAGGGTAGATAAAAGTATAAGTAAATAAGCATATTCCTATAGTAGTTTCAAGAGCTCAATAGAGCTCAAAACCGAAGATGGCCTTTTTGTTGATAAAATGATTTATTGACCAATTTGCCACAATTAATAAAACATGATAATACTGTGCTCCCTTCAGCAGCACATATACTAAAACTGGAATGATATGGAGAACATTAGCATGGCCTATGTGCAAGGATCATCGGCAAATTTGTGAAGTGGTCCATATTTAGGAAAAGAAAACACAATGGTAACTGATTGATTTAAAAAAAAAGTTCTAATGATTATTGAATGAATATTATTAAATTATCTAGTCTAATATTCTCAATATAATT